CATATACCCCCTGGCAGCCTCCCCCCCTCGGGTGCCCACAGGCCACGCCTGCGAGGTTGCGGCGGTCCTGGGGCTCTGCGGGGAGAGAGGATCTCGGTAATCCGCACCGAGCAAATCGCTGGAGGCATGCCCGCAATCTGGGTGCGAAAACGAACGTCACACTGCCTGGCTGCTCCCGCCTGCGGTGCCCCATTGCCACGCCTGCTGGTTCGAGATGGTCACGGAGCGCGCAAGGAAGAGGATCTCGGGGTGCCCAAACCAAGCAAGCAGTTTGAAGCATCCCCACAATCTGGGCGCGAGCGGGATGATGTCACATCTCCTGGCGGCTCCCCATTGGATTGCCCATGTGTGCCGCCCGCTACGTCGCAGTGATCACACGGTGAGTGTGAATGATCATACTGTAAGTGAGTGGAATGTGTGACGAGTCTGACTACGACGTGGCTGGGTATGCGTGGAGATGAGTGTGAGTGGCCTGTGTGTGATGAGTGAGTGAGTCTGAGTCTTAACAACTCAGAATCTCAGTGTATCTCGGTGAGATTGAATCAGAGGGTGAGTGGGTCTGTGTCTGAGTGGTCCGAGTGGGAGCTGAGTGTTGTCAATGACCATGCTGTGAGTGATATGCGCCTGTGCGAGTCTGAGTGGTAGTGGTACAAGTGGATCTGAGCGGGAGTGGTCTGTATATATCGGTGAGTCTGAAGGGGAGAAGACGGAGACGGCGGGTGAGGAGGCGGAGGCGCCCCGATCGTTCCGAGAGCCCTGCACTCAGTAACATAAGAGGGGAAAGCTGGGGGCGCGTCGTGGTGGTGGTGGTGGTCGTCGTCGTCGTCGTCGTCGACGACGTCGTAGCCGAGGACGTCGCTTCTCGACTGGCCCTCCTCTGGGGAAGGGGCCCTGGGACACACAAATAAATACACACACACACATAAAAGGATTCCCCATATTTTCCTACATTTTCTGAGTTTCTGTCTTCCCCCCCCCCTTCCCGTATGTTCCTGGGAGTGGACGATGAATTGTGTCTGTGTGTTCTTTCCCCTCCTGATCTGGGGAAGGGGGGGCTCGCCCAAAGTCTCCCGCGCGCCTCGCGCCCTGCGCGAGGGGTGCGGTGCTCTGCCCCGCACCTCCGCGCTCGCTCGCCGCCGCCTGGGGCTAGCTCCGTGGCCCTCCTGACCCCCGAGAGGCCGCGAGGCGCGCCTGCACCCACGCCACGCCGCCCCCCCCCACCCCCTCGGGGGGGCGACCCAGATGTCACCAAGACGAGGCGTTGACCTAAGGAGCCCTAACTAAGGAACGAGGCCCCTATTCTCCATCAGTTGAAAATTTCGATGTCGCATCGGAAACCTCAGGAACATCTCAGGCAAGCCGCGACACAATGAAGGAACACGGAGCCCCTCCCCAACGAAAAGGGTTCCTTCGTCAGGGCCCCGACTGTACCAAGACGAGGCCAGGACGAAGACTGACTCGGCCGAGGATGCCTCGAGGATCTCTGAGAGCCAGCGGCTCTCGAGGAAGTCTCGGGCGCCGCGGCCTTCTCAGAGCGCTCCGGAGCGCTCGGAGGGCGTTCCGAAACGCTCTGGGACGGACTGGCCCTCGTCCTAGCTACGTCCAAGATGTTACTGAAGCGCCAGAACGGTTTCGGAAGGGTTCGGGGCTGATGATGGCATGGCATCCCCCTAAGCGAATAGAAGTATAAGAAATGGGATAAGACAAAACGCTAGTAGGAAAGAAAAAAATCGAGTTGAAATTAAAAAGAAAAAATGAAAAAGTGCTAAATAATCAAGTTATACGATCCCCCAAGGGCGTACGACTCGCTCGAACAACACTCCCTGGCACTGCCACCGTGAGGGCGCGCCAGCAATGCGCAGCACCCAGACCCCACCTCGAAGAGATATCGTGACATTTCTTGTGTCCGGGGCGTGTTTCGACATTGGGCGGAAGGGGGGGGAGGCTCCAGACCTCTGTGGGACTGTTTGCAGCCGTGCGTCCATTGTGAAGGAGGCTCCTCCTGCCCGAAGCGGGCGCCCCAAAAACAGCCAAGATCTACTCCATGGGGGGGGGGGAGGGGGGTGTGCCGAGGGCCCGCGCCGATCGGCAGAACCAGGAATAAACAAACGACCAACGGGCCAGAGGCGTGCTAAGATCTCCGGTAACTTGTCAACAATATTTCTAGTTCGCGCGCGCGGAGCGGCCCCTGGGGGCCCCCGGACGAAAAGTACCCCGGCAAGGTCCCGAGAGAAGCCCGGGAGAAGCCACCAGACCACTCCAGGGGAGGGTATTTTTCGACACCCCTCACGAGGATCGTGGCCTCCGAGAGGGGAGCCGCAATCGACTACCCCCAAGAGCCCCCCAAGAGGCCCTGGGGGCCTCCAAAACGCCGCCAAGGAGCCCCAAGAGACTCCCAAGAGGTCCCCAAGAGGCCCCCAAGAGGCCCTAAAGAGGGCTCCAGGGCCGGCGGCATGAGCGAAGCGATTAAATAAACAAACGACCACCCAGTTTCATTTTTGCGTGGGAGCAATCTCCATGGGCGGGGGGGGGTGCGAGGGCCCGCGCCGATCGGCAAAACCAGGAGTAAAAAAACGACCATCCAGTTTCATTTCTGCGTGGAACAAAACTTGAATACCAGACCGACGTGCCATGAAGGAACAGAGCAGGCGTCAGACGTCGAGGGGCGCTGCCGCAGCGTGGGGCGCGCGCGCGTGCCGTGCCGAGCGCCGGCGAGAGAGAGAGGGGCCGGGCACCTCTCATGAGGGCGGGTTTGCGGACAGTGCCCACGGGAACAAAAAATGATAAGGCCGAATAATCATGAAAAAGATGGGTTCTTGGTGCAGCAGCACTCCGGCGGGAAACGCCGCTCCGCTTCCGCCCCGCTCCCCGCAAGAGGAGGAGGGAGAGGGAGGGAGGAGGAGGAGGAGGAGGAGGAGGAGGAGGAGGAGGAGGAGGAGGAGGAGGAGGAGGAAGAGGCGCTCCCCTCCCCCGCCGGGAACGCCGATCGGCTGCTCCGTGAACGCCGGATCGTTCAACGACGGGCCGATTCTGCGCCACGGGCGGCGTTCAGCCTTGAAAACGCACGCGCATGGGGTCGCCGCCGGTCGGCACGCCGCGAGCCTGCCGTATCCACGTCCTGGTCCCACGGGCTGCAAGGAACGGGCGGCGCCTACCGGGTTCGATGGAGCGCTCCGTTGATGAGTTTCGAGCTGAGCTAAGAGCAGGACTGCGCAATCACCAGACACGAATTAGACACTGAGAGTTCGTATGCTCGGCCCGAGGTTGGTTCCGCACAAGGTGGTGTTCAAACGATCGACTATCTGCCCAGGATCGGCAACACACGGCCAATGCATCACAGACAGCTGAGCACGACTACTGCTCTATGCGCAACGCGTCTCGGTGGTCTCGCGCATAGCGGTCGCATGCCAACTTCCTGCATGCAATACGAATGGTGTGATTGCGGACATGGATTTTTTGGAAGGCCGCAATCCGGATCCGTCTCTGCCGTGGCCCTACTCTGCACAAGCAATCCGAGTGCAGAAAAGCATTGCGTCTCTAGAGTGATACGAGCAGCCGCGCAAGAATCACAGCATGCCTTTGCCGCTCGCGCCCAGTGGACTTGCCACGCGTCATCCTCCTCGAAACGTATCCCCTTTCCGTCTCCTATGCAATCCTCGGGCTGCACTGATCGACTACTGGTTGTGAAGATATGGGCAATCAGCGCCGACCCACGATCCCGACCAGTCTGGGCCACGCTCGGAAGATTGCAGCCTTGAACCTAGAGGGCGGGCGGGTGCTTATGAAGCGTACGCGGGGTGCGGCCTAACCAGGCCTGGTGATGCCAATGGGGGCAGGTCATGAGTATTTATACGCGTGCATACGTACACATATGTGTACACGCGTGTATTTATATATGCGCACATTGCCATTTATACGCGCAGACATGCGCACATGCATGTAGGTACACATACCAGCCACCGTGCCCTGAGACACGAGTTTGAGTGTTCTCAGGCCCCTCGGGTCCTACATCCTCAATCCTGAAGATTCCCTGGCAGACCAGCAGCCCCGAGTTCTGGACGCTCCCGGACGCTCTCAGGCGCTCTCGGCGCTACTGTGTCTTGTCGCATGAGGCGCGAGGGCCCCAGGACGGCCCAAGAAGCCCCCAAGCGGCCCCTCCAACGGTCCAGGAGCGTCCCGGGTCGCCCGAAGATCGCTCCAAGACGCCCAAGACTCCAGACGGCCCAGGAGGCCCCCAAGGCGTCCCAAGAGGGCCCCAAGAGGCCCCCTGAGAGGCACACACACATCACTGACTTCCCGTGTGCACGAGAAGGACTCGAGCGGTCTCCCCTCTCCTGCCAGGGGCCTTCGACGCTCCAGGACGGCCCGAGAGGCCCTACGGGTCGCCCTCAGACGGCCCAAGCGGCCTCCATGAAGGCGCAAACCCGAAGTGGGTGGGGAGCCACAGGGATTCGCCACGACAGCGTGGCCTTCCAGTCCGCGCACCAATTCGCGGCCCTGGTTTTGACCAGATCCGTAAACACATGTTGACAATCTTTCGCTGTGGGAGCAGCAGCGACAGAATCCGGCAACATCTTGTATACCCGGACCCCTGACGGCCCCCAAAAAGGGCCCCAAAAGGTCAGCTCAAGAGGCCCCCAGTTGAAGGTGCCCTGGGACAAACAAATACACGCAAATAAAAGACTCCCCAATATTTTCCCATACTTTCTGGGTTTCTGTCTTGCCCCCCACTGCCCAAATCTTCAAATTTTTTCCGGGGGAATCGGCGATTCCTTGTGTCTGTGTGTCTTTTCTCCTCCTGACCAGTGGCGGCCCGAGAGAGGGCCCAGGGACCCCGACGACACGCTGTGCCCTGCGAGCTGCCGGCGTGCCGCTCCGCCCCGCCCGGGCGGGAGGCGGGGGGGCGCTGCGGGGCCGCGGAGGAGGTGGGCGCGTCGTCGCGCCAGGTCGCGGTGGGCCAACTCCTCCTCCTCCTCCTCCTCCTCCTCCTCCTCCTCCTCCTCCTCCGGTGGGCCAGCACCGGCGTCGCGACGCTTTAGCGCCCCTCAAACGGGGACTCCACTAACGGGTACTTTGGCCAGTGGCCCAGCGAACCCAACCCTCCCCGATGCGGGCAGCGCTGCAGTGCCAGAAAGAGGCCCTAGTGTGGCAACGTTCGGCAACATTTCAAAGGGCCCGTTAGTAAGTACCCGTTACGGTGCCGTTGACGCTGGACCGACGCTCCCAGCCGGATGCACGCCGCCGCGCATGCTGGCGCTGCAGGGACCGCACCCGGTGCGCGCCTCGCCGTGTGCACGCGCGCGCGCGCCCGTGCGCCGACGCACGCCGGACGCGCTGCCGCGGGCTGCCAGCAGACTACGCCGCTGGCGTCTCGCCCTCGCCGTGCTCCTCGTCGGGGGCGGCCGCGTGGAGCATCACCGCGTCGGACACGTTGCAGAAATGGTTGTAGGCATCCTTCCGGCTCCTGCACGCGGACGGGTCGGCCTTGGCGTTCCTGTTCGCCTCGCCCCAGACGTCCCGCCTCCACCTGGGGCGTCCGGGAAGAACAGGACGAGAATGATGCCATGATGCGATGGGCTCCAGGGCACGTAGCGGACACCCCGTTTCTGGAGCCCGCGGGGAACAGTAGGAAATTCTGGAACTCAGGGACATCTCCTGACCACTGGAACCTCCCATTCCCATGCCTTCTCGCTCGGCCTCGTCTCCGAGGGGTCGGAGGAGTGGCACTCTCGCCCTCGGCTTAGGTCGGACAGGCGGATCTTGGCAGAAAAAGTAAGCATGGTCAACACGTAACCAACAATGGTCACAATAGAGCGCGAAACATCGTCATCAGACTACTCCGAGTTTCTCAATCAGCGTCGGGGGGGCGCCACCCCCGCCGACAGCCCCGCATCGACCCCTGTCGCGGGCAGCCACGGCGCGCCGAAGGCGCTCCGACCCCCGTCGCGGCGCGACGACGAGGCGAGGTTGACCCCCCGTCGGGGGCGTACCCCCCCACGCTTCTTAAGACACCCAGAATTTGTTCAACTATCCTTGAATATCCCCTCTGCAGAGGGACCTGCCCGACCTAACCCTAGGTCGGGCGTGTCCTCCTACAGGCGGACTGTCGAGGAAAGATCAAATGTAGTCAACAAATACACTAACATGGTCAAATATCAATGGTCAAGCATAGTCAAACATGGTCAAAACACAAAATGAAACATAGTCGAACAGCAATGGTCAAACCAACATCGTCCCCGGATGATTTCTTGACTATCTTGGAATCTCCACACCGGAATACCCCCAAAACGGTCCCAACGTCGTCCCCTGACAATGCTTTGATCTACTTCTGTGAAAGAGCGTGTTCTACCGCTGCTGGTGGAAAACGGGGGGGGGGTCACTACCGGTTCGAACCCCCCCCCCCCCGGAAAACCGGGGGGGTCACTACCGGTTCGACCCCCCCCCCAGTCCATCATGAAAAAGTGTGGGGGGGTACTACCGGTTCGAACCCCCCCCTCCCTCGAAAACCGGGGGGGGTCACTACCGGTTCGAACCCTCCCCCTCTCCTTCGAAAACGAGTGGGGGTGCGGACAGTGGTGTGGACGGTGTTTGTGGGGACAGTGGGTGAGGGGGTACAGCGGGACAGTGTGGGACAGTGGGACCGTGGGACAGTGGTGGGGTACGGTAGTCGTGGGACAGTGGTGGGGACAATGTGGGAACGGGGTCTGCAGTGGCTTGGTGGGGACGTGGTGGTGTGGACAGTGTGTGTGGACAGTGGGGAATGAGGTGGCAAATAGTGGGACAGTGGAGGGTACAGTGTGGTGGGGACCAATGGTGAAGGCGTGGCGAGGACGGCGGTGGAACATGGACAGAGGTACAGTGGGGACAGTGGTGGGAACAGTGGGACAGCTCAGTGGGACAGCGGCGGAGTCAGTGGGACAGTGGGGATAGTCGGGCAGTGGTTGGGGCCGTGGAGACAGTGGGGAGAGTGGAACCGTGGTGGGAACAGTGGTGGGGACAGTGGGGACAGTGCGACAGTGGTGGGGGCACTGGTGTGGACAATAGGGACGGTGGTGGAACCAGAGGACAGTGGTGCTGGGAACAACAGTGGGGGATGTGATGCGAGCGCTGGTAGGGACCGGGAGTCGTTTGCTGGCGGTGCGTGGGGTGATTTTGGAGGTGTCGAACCGGTAGTGAACCCCCCTTCCCCCCCCCCTTCCGTTTTTCGAGGGGGGCGGTTTTCGAGGGGGTGACCCCCCCCGGTTTTCCTTTTTTTTCAAATCCTGGGGGGGGGGGGGAGGGGTTCCGAACCGGTTATGACCCCCCACTGGTTTTTCGAGGGGGGGGGGGGGGGTGGGGGGTGGGGCGGGGGGGGGGGGGGGGGGGAGGGGTTAGTGGAGGGGGGGGTTTTTGCCGGAGGAGGGGGTGGGGATTCTAGCAAGGGGGGGGGGGGGGGGTGGGCGATGTTTCGGAGGGGGGGGCAATTTTCCACAGTAAAGCGGCGGTGGATCACGCTCTCTCACTTCTGTTGAGCAGGGACCGACCGTCCCCGCATTCCTATAGTCCTACCACGAAGTTTTCTCAGAACCCAGAAATGTTCTAAGAACCAAAACAGTGTTCTCAGAACACAGACCCGATGTAATAAAACAAAACAATCCCAGCCAAACATGTTATAAGAACATTCTGTTCTTGGAACATTGCCTGGAAGGGCTATGGGCGAGCCAGGACGCTTCGCGACTGCTTGCTTTTGAACACTCCTCCTGCAGAGGCGGCCTGCCCGACCGGCCCCTCGGCCCCCGACCTGGACGGGGGGGGCGCGCGGGGGCCCCCGCGGCGGCAGCACGGGGCGGCCCTGCCGGCGGCAAGACGTGCGGAGAGAGAGAGAGAGGGAGAGAGAGAGAGAGAGAGGCACGGGCAGGCTCGGGTCGGGCACGTCCCCATGCAGGCGGAGTCTAGACGAAACATAAAAATAGAGAGAGAGAGAGAGAGAGGCACGGGCAGGCTTAGGTCGGGTATGTCCCCCCTGCAGGCGGAGAGTCTAGACGAAACATAAAAAACAATAGTCAAGGAATGCTCCAGAATGAGCAAGCACAGGGGCACAGGGCAAGCAGCAGTCCCCCGACTACTTTTTTTTTTTTTTTTTTTTTTTTTTTTTTCTTTCCATTTTGGCATCGTCCTCCTGCAGAGGGACAGGCCCGACGTGAGGGCAGGCCCCCCCCATGTGAGATGCCTGGCAGGCAGCAGCAAGCCGATCCCCCCAGGGGAAAAAAGGGAGACCCAGACACCCCCTCCCCCCGGGCGCCACGAAAGTTAAGTCGGGCCTGTCCCCCTACAGGGGGATTGTCGATGAACAAATTTTTTTTTAAAAAAACCAGAAAAATACCCCAAGAGGGTCAAAAAATAATTTTTTAAAAAATAGTCCCCAGACTATGTTTGGACAATTCTTTGTTTTTGACAATTTTTGGGGGTATTTTTCATTTCTCGTCGAAAATCCCCCTGTTGGGGGGACAGGCCCGACTTCACACGAAGGCAGCACGACGGGAGGCACACACGACGAGGGCACGACGGGGGCGGCCCTGCCGTGCGGGGCGAGGCACGGGCCGACTCCCCTTTCTCCCCCCCCGTGAGAAAGGTCTCCGAGGTGGGGTCGGAGGCTCGCGCCGCCTCGCCGCTGCATCGCCGAGGCATCTGCGGCGCACCGGCGATGCCTCGGCGACGTCGGCGATGTCGACGTGAAGCACACCGGGGGCGCCACGTCGCGCCGCGCCGTGGATGCCTCGGCGACGTGGCGCCGTCCTCCGGCCCCACCTGCTCCGATCCCATCGAGGAGGCCTACAGTCGGGGCGCTGATCTTAAGGAACGATGAATAAGGAACGAAGCGCTCTTTTTCCATAGATAAGACTCTGATTTTCCATGGAAAACCTCCGGAAAACCCAAGGAGCGCTGCAAAATCACTAAGGGACACAGAGCCCCTCTCAAACGACAAGGGTTCCTTCTTCAACGGCCCGACTGTACAGTGAAAGGTCTGGCCGGCAGCAGATCGACCCCCAAGGAAAGAGGAGACCCAGGCACCCCTCGCGCCACGAAGACATCACGACAGGAGGCTTTTCGTTGTCTGTTCGGCCTCTGGGGGCCCTTCTCGGGCCCTCGGGGCCCTCAAAAAGGGACTCGGGATGAGAGGCCGGTCCCGGGGAAGGGGTCGAGGCCTCTCTGGGGGTCGACGTCATGACAAAGTCCTGACGTCTGGGGTCTGGGGGCGCCGTGCACGTCAGAAGTGCATGGGCAGGAGACGTAGCGCCGGCATGACCGCCACCGAACGCAGTGAGAAACAGTGCGAAAAAACATCAAAAACTCTTTCGGCATCCCTGGCTCCATAGGCACGGAGCGTCTAAGACTCTGTCATGCACATCCCTCTCGCCGCTGAACCCTGGAGTCCTGAAAACCTGGGGCTTCCCTTCTGTTGCGTCCTAGGGAAGGCCTTATCTGTCCCGTCGCGGCCCTATCCGCGCCGAATCCGTGTCGAATCCATGTCGGACTCGTCGGATCCGTGTCGAATCCGTGTCGAATCCATGCCAGATCCGCGTCGAGTCCGCATCGAGCCCGCGTCGGGCACAAGACAAGACATCACTTTTTGGACAGGCGAGGCCCCCCGAAGGTGCAACATTAAGTGTCCCCCGGAGCCAACTCGTCATCCTGGGCAGTTTTCTAACGGTCCCAGGGCCCGTAGAGGACCCCGAACAAGCAAAGGCGCAGAAGAACCTCTCAGGACCCATCTCCCTCAGGACCCGCTTGCTTCATGGCGAATGAGGGGCAACGATAGGGGGGGACTGGCATAGGGGGGATGCATCGACCTGGAATCGGCGATACATCGCCGATGGATCGGCGATAGGCCTCCGATAGTGAATCCGAACCTTCCTGGGCAGGCTGGGACTATCGGGCCCCTATCGGCGATCCATGGGCGATTGGAGGTCGATGCATCCCCCCCCTATGCCTATTCCCCCCGTATCGTTGCCCCTGAGCGAAGGGTGGACGCTGACGCCCTCTTGGTCTCCGGTGCCGGCCGCCTGTCCTTCGCGTCCAGGTTGTGCTGCGGGCACCCGCTCGGCAGCCACACGTAGCACCCCGCGGTCTGGGGCAGCTCGGGCACCTTCTAGCGGCGCTCGAGGAGCCGAGACAGGTGAGCAGGGACCGGCCGTCCCGGCATTCATATAGGCCTACCACGACATGTTCTTAGAACCCAGAGATGTTCCAAGACCAAACACACTGTTCTTAGAACATGAGCCGATGTGCTCAAACAAGGCAGACTCAGCCAGACGTGCTCTGAAAACATGTCGTGCAGACCACAGAGGGTCCGACGACATGTTGCCTGCCATGGAGCGTCACAACCTCAGATACTTGACGGTGTGTTGTTCCCACACAAATGCTACGTTTCGTTGTGTGCTGGGCAACTGCGCTACTACAATCGAGGACCTCGCGAACGAGGACGGGAAACTGACGATGGAGAAACTTATCAGCTACTGCCCAACATACGGGCCGCCATTGAGAGATGGAATTCCGTGGGTTATCATCCGCCACCAGGTGGAAGCGGAGTGCCCCGACCTACCGAGCTTCCTTCAAGAAGCAGGCAACCAGTCGCACAACGCACGCCAAGTTCAAACACAGATGCAAACATTGTTGCGCATCCATCGCATTGCCACAAAGAATTACAAGATGCACGCCGACCCGAAGTGGGAGTTGCTCTGCAAGGACTTGGTGAAATCGAACTCCGAGCTCAAGGGCGACGTCGAAGGCATGAGTCTCTACGTCAAGGAGTGGTCTGGAGGAGAGAATGCATCATACTTGAAAGAGCTTCAAGAATTTGCATGTTCGTTGAAGTTCCGACGTCACATTCCAGGGTCCCTCTGGAAAGCACTCGGCAGCGTCCAACTCGCTCAAGGTGTTGATTACATTACCGCTACAATCAAGGCTAGCATGACAGCGCCCGAGGCGCACTGCAGGGGCAACGAGAGCAAACTTCTTTCGTCTACTGATGTTCTCTCAATTCAGAATAAGCTCAAGCCGCAATGCATCACAGCAGCTACCATGATGAAGGCAGCTCGGACTTTCGTGAATACCATCACCTGCC